ATCGCCGGCTTCCGGTATACCTTCATTCCTCAGTCTTCCACAACTTTAAGCAGCTCTGCAAACAGAAAAGAAAATAAACTGATGATTTTAAAAATATCAGTGAGGATGGCTTTATTATCTACATCAACTGACTTTTGTATAAGATAAATCAATGTGAGGCAATATGTGTAGCTTACACATTTGGAAAAAAAGGCTAGACAGCAACTGAAAGAAAGTCCGTCTTCCAATAGTAGGAATTCAAACGAAACATTGGCCCACAACGGTCAAGGGGTGAATTCAATGACGCAACACGTGTTCAGAATATTGCAAAATAAATAAAATGTCGCCCATTGCTACTTGAATATCATACAATATAACGTACCTTCGAAATATCCTAGTCCGAGAACTTCACAACGCACCGTGCCACAACACAACCGCACCAACCGCCGGCAGCCGCAGAACTGAACAATGGCGGCCGGAAATGACGGCCCCACCGGAAGTGAAGGACGCGTTTTAGAAGCAGTCTCAGCCTCGTCGCTGCTCACCGTAGCAGGGATTTATGAGGCACTACCGAATCAAAGTCGTTTTGCCTCATTCGGCAACACGAAAACGGAAAACCCTACCAGGGCCCAATCTTACCAATGCCGTGGATGCAGATGCCGTGGATGCCTACCACGGCGGCTGATCCACGGCACTCCATTTACCCAATCTCACCAATGCCGTGCCACGGCATTTCTATTCACGGCATTTTGCCCACGGTACAATTCAGCGCCAGCAGAAAACACGCAACGTGATTGGTCAATTCTTGTCACCTTCGCTATGTGAAATTGTGCGTATTGCTTGTGAACAAGTATAGCTCTCTATTTAAAGTTTTGTCGGGCGTTTATTTGTTTTAGAGCCATACATATGTGCGAAGGATAAGTTATTTGTGGAAAACGTGATAGCAAACTATGAAAAACTAAAGCCTGCCTAAAGAATTCTCCTGAAAAGCGGATTACTGGCCTAGTAAACTTCCGCGAGGACATTCTCGCGCTGAGAAAATCGAGTGGATTAGATTTTAACTTCGTTTCGCTGCTCATCATTTCTATTTACTTGCTGTTAAGATATTGCAACAATTTTGACTTGAGATAAAATTATTGAAGTAACGACCTAGTGATAGCTCCGCTGTTGTTTCTAAGACATTGGAATAATGCAATTGAAATGCAGCTCGTTAAGTTTAAACTTTGGGTACATGCACCCGGCCAGCTCAAGCTATAGCCTTATTTGCTGCTTTTTACGAGCACGATAACAAAAGCAATTACTCAAAATATTGAAGAAACCCGTCTACATCTCAAAACCATAACATATCAAGAAAAAGGCATTCAGTTCAGAAGTCAGATTGAGACGCATGAAGACAGCATGCTCCGTAGCTGTCTGTGCCAGACAGAAAGTGGTAAAATATGCATTGTGAGTGCTGATACTTGTTTGACAAGTTAACGGTATTTAATTGTTTTAAATATCTACTTAGAAATCATGAAGGATGTTGTGAGACGTCCGGACGGGGTGAACACTGAAACACCCATATTATGGCATATATAGATAGGTTTGGCATTGGTATGATTGGGCCCAGATGCTAAAATCGCCTCCACGATCTCGTATGGATTTGAAAAATAAGACCTTATAATGAATAAACATGTTTATTTTTATGGATTTGAGTGTGATTTTATCCCTGGAAAATACATGTTTTTGAAAAAAATCACTATGCGTGTAATCGTCGCTCTAAGATGTCAAGGGCATTATATGAAGAATTCTTTACTCTAAAAAAATAATAGTGTCAAATATTGCATAGTAACATCCTCCCAGCGACCTATCCCTTTCACAACACCCGCCATTCACGGCACTAAAAGGTGGCGTGAATGGAACGGCCACCGACAGCGCAAACAGCTGATTATTTGCGTTTGTTCTGTCGCTCTCGCGGCAGCTTGTGCCACTGCCCATGTTAAAGCACTGCCCAAATGCCGTGGATAAACATCGACCGCATGCCGTGAATGAGATGGCGTGAATAGCTATCCACGGCATTGGTAATATGCCGTTGCCGTGAATGGGCTCCATTCACGGCATTTTGTCTATTCACGGCATTGGTAAGATTGGGCCCAGGACTAGTCCGATGATGAGTTTCCGACTACTGGCCTTCGGGGTCGAGGCACTGGGTTGACGGAATTCCGTCGACGGAATTCCGTCAACCAGTGCCCCCGACTCTCGACCGCCACCCGCAAGTAAACAGACTGAGTAGCGCTGCAGCACATTTATTCGGGCACAAGAACGAGAACGAGAACAATAACAACGCCAGGACAATAACTATAACTTTAACAACAACAACAACAACAACAACAACAACAACAACAACTAACTGAATAATTTGCAATCAGGTTTCTTAAATAACCACCATCAAACATTTGTGATTTTTCATTAACCCGCGCCCGGCTGGGGGTCCTGGATTTCCACGCCCTGCTGGGGGGGGGGGGTGTTTGAACACCCCCCCTTCTAACTCGGCTCCTGGGCCACGTAGCGATACGCGGAAGGCGGCGTTCGAAAGAGCGTAAAAAATAATGAGGAAATCACTTCGGTCAATTTTTTGCTCAGGTCAAAGGTCAGGTCACCAGAGGTCATTGAAGGCAAAATTTCGCCGATTTCCAGGTCGAATGTCGACAATTTCCAAGAAGCCAACGCATAACTCGGGAACCAAAAGAGCTACAGCGCCGCGGAAAAGCACATTCGATAGCCCTATTAACGCCCTTTCTGATTAATTCTCTCAGATTTGACCTAACGTCAACGGTTTTGCCTGCAGGGGGCAAAAACTGCAAAAATAGCCGATTTTTTCGGAAACAGTTTTTCTGCAATAACTTTTGACCCAAGCCTTGTACGAGCTTCCTTTTACCGGCGTCGTGTTCCTCTCGTCAAGACGCATCGAATGAACTATAACTTGACCTTGAAAGGTCAACTTGAAAATTTGACCTCAGGTCAAGGTCATGACCTGACCGGAAAGGGTCATGTTGCATATCAGTCGATCCGTATCGTCGACCTGAACACATCTAAGGCGTTTTCATCGCTCTAGCACGCCTCTATCAAAAGTTATTTGCGAAAAACTGTTAGATACCATTCGTGACCTAAGATGACCTCAGGGCATAAACAGGGGTCACGGACACCATTTTCATGTTCAGTGTGTCTAAACCACTTGTAATTCAGTGTTTGGGAGTGTTTATAATGTCTTTCGTCCAAAAGAAGCGCATTTCAATTTTCTCCCATTGACTTATAATGGGGGGGGGGGTTGCAAAATTGACCTGACCTTAGGTCATCGATATCAAAATTCTGAGATATACATTTTGTACATGCTATTGCTCTTAGCAATCGCTGAAAGTTTCAAAGCAATCGGTCACTCGGTGTAGCTATGACAGACATTGAAACTTTTTATGAGGTGAGGTCACTTCAAGTGACCTGGTGACCTGACCTTGAATGACCTTGGTCTGAAATTTTCACAACATGTGTAGAATTGATGTATGATAAGGTGTACCAAAAACGGCGGCGCTCCGCGCCGCCGTTTTTGAGATATTCGCGAAAAACCACAAGGGGGGTGTTCAAACACCCCCCCCCCCAGCAGGGCGCGGGTTAAGCTCTGCACCGGCGGCAGTCGCGGGATGAACGTAGGCCAGGACTATGTACATGGCCCCATTCTTTACCAGAGAAGTCTGTAATGGGTGAAAAAAAAAACGAATATTAACATTATGATTGTGATAACCGTTCAGACCAATCTTTGTAACTCAACCCACAGGTGACTCTTTATTGTCATCTTACTGAGCAGTGCACATGCAGGCAGGTGCAGACGGGCAGACGCATATGAGCAGTAGGGCAAATGCAGTGCGCAGGTGCAGGCAGACAATCATGCCCTATGCTTAAGGGTCCATGCAGCGCCACTCGAAGCAGCCGTCAAGCAGATGCAGGCGTGCAGAGACAGACAGGCAATGCATGTGCAGTGAGCAGACACCACGTGCAGTGGACACACCGCGTCCAATAGATAGACACCACGTCCGGTGGATAGACACCACGTCCAGTGGATAGACACCACGTCCAGTGGATAGGTTCCTAAAAAGAAACAAAAACCAATTCGGTTTAACAGATATACCTGCACAGCATTGAGCATCATGCGGGGGGGGGGGGGGCACGCAGCATACATGCCAAACCCATTCCAATCACCTTTGCATGACAAAGTCTCACATCTCATATTTATACATTGCATTTTAGTGACCTATTTACAAACTTACCAACAATAATGGCGGAAAGATTATCACATAGTTTATATCTATCGGTCCAACCAAGATCCATAGACTCAAAGCCTCAGTAACATCAGCCAAGTTTACTGCGCCAAAAACGTCAATCCTCACACGACGAAAAAACCACATCCGGGCACTTCGAGCAAGAACTATAATAAAACCCTAACTCCTGAGCGGTTCCCTGTACGGTGGTGCCATCTCCAGGAAGGAAAGGAAAGCGATCACATGGTAGATGGCGCAACTGGGCTCACCGGAACGGTAAGTGCAGTGGCTGCGCTTACATCCTCCCCTTTGAATCTTCCTCGATTCAACACAACCAAAACGATCTTCAAACTCTTCACTGTTCAGATCCTGCCAGGATTTTCACCAACTTCGAAGCAGAACGACGCAGCAGCGTCTTACCGCGACGGACCACCACCTGTCGTACTAAACCCTTGTGATCCTTCATGACCTCTTCCACCCTTGCGAGTGGCCATTGTCCTCTTGGCAGTGCCTCATCAACCATCAACACCACATCTCCAGTACTCAAGTTCTTCCGCTTGACATTCCATTTCTGCCTTGTCTGTAGAAGTGGTAAATACTGGTTTCGCCATCTCTTCCAGAACCTGTCGGCAAGGTACTGGATCTTTCTCCATCGCTTCGTGTACACGTAATCTCCTGTAAACAATCCAGGTGCGATGGGTCCTCCTCGGAACAGCAGCAAATGATTCGGTGTCAGGGGATCGTAATCTCTTGAGTCTGTCGACACCGAGGTGAGCGGCCTGCTGTTGAGAATACTCTCAACCTCGCACAAAAGTGTGTACAATCCATCGTCGTCCAAAACTTGCTGGTTCAGCAGGCTGTCCAAGATCTTTCGAACGGTGCGGATTTGTCTTTCCCATGCTCCACCGAAGTGGGAGGCAGAGGGGGGATTAAACCGCCACTCTATGTCCTGCTTCAACATAGCCTCATGCACTTGAGTCTGCTTCAAGTTTTCAAGTTCTGCCTTGAGCTCTCTTTCAGCGCCAACAAAGTTCGTGCCATTGTCGCATCTGATGAGTTTAACTGGACCTCTTCTAGCCAAGAACCGTCGTAGCGCGTTGATGAAGGAGTCCGTTGATTGACTGTCAGCTACTTCGATGTGCACAGCACGCATGGCCATGCAGGTGAAGACCACCCCGTAGCGTTTCACTTGAGCCCTTCCTCTCTTGACATAGAAGGGTCCAAACAGGTCGACGCCCACGCTGCTGAACGCTGGCTGATCGGGCGTCACTCTGTCTGCGGGCAAATCAGCCATTTCCTGTTCCATGGGCTTTGCTTGACGTTTTCTGCAACTTGTGCACGTCCTCAGAACCCGACGCACGCTTGAACTGCCACGTATCAGCCAATACGACTCTCTCAGCTTCGAAAGCGTGTGCTCCCGTCCTTGGTGGCCCACTTGAGTGTGCGCGTGTCTGATGATCAAGTCGGTAACATGGTGACGTGCTGGCAGTATCGGTGGGTGCTTCATGCTGTCCGAGATCGGGGCCATGGCCAAGCGACCTCCAACCGCCACAATCCCGTTCACCAGGACAGGATCCAACTGCCTCAGCTTACTCTTCCTTGGAAGCGTCTTTCCATTCTGGGTCTCAAGTTCTCCAGCACCCCGGGCTAGGGCTTGGAGCTCTATCTTGAAAGGTTCTTTCTGTACCTGCTGGATGATAGTCCTTTCAGCTTCTCTAAGCTCTTCAGATGACAGCAGGGATGGGCCACTAACCGCTCGAGTTCGTGACCGGGTGACAGGACCTCCAGCTTGGCCATCTGTCTTGATCGTTCTTGACTGTAGAAACTTCTTGAACCGTAGCATCCAGGCTACCGCTTTCCTGAGCCGGTGCCAGTCTGAGTAGTGGTGGATGAACCTTTCAGTGGGGCTCTGTTCTTCCACACCACTCACAGTGTAGCACGCTCTGGGTCGAAGCACTTCGTCGTCTTCTGGTTCTAGAGCTTCCATGCCTTCTGGCAAGGCCGGCCACTCCTTCTCTTCCTTCTGTAGGAAGTCAGGTCCGTGCAGCCACCTGTGGTCCAGGAGTGCTGTAGCCTTTACCCCTCGGGAGGCGCCATCAGCCGGATTCTCTTCTGATGTGACGAATCTCCACTGTGATGGAGAGGACTCATCCTTGATGATCGCCAAACGATTGGCCACGTAGACTTGGTATCTTGCTGTTTCGTTCCTGAGATACCTCAGAACCGTTGTGCTGTCCGTCCAAAACGTTGTTTGGTCGATGTTGATTTCCAGCAGCTCCTTCTTGATGATGGCGTTCAGTCTAGCAGCTACCGCAGCTGCCGCCAACTCCATGCGTGGAACTGTCATCCTCTTAACCCTCGCCCCGTTGGGGGGGGGGGCCATTTTGGCCCCCCCCCCTGTGGTTTTTCCTGAATAGCAAGAAAACGGCGGCGCGCAGCGCCGCCAAATTTTCAGTACCTTCCCGGGCATCAATTTGACACCTTCACACCAAATTTCGAGTCTTAGGTCACCTTAGGTCAGGAGTTATTGAGGTCAAACTGAGGTCATGTTCGAGCAAAAATGGGCAAAAAACATGCAATCTTGAAACGCTCACCAAATCTACAGTTATCAAGCAATTTCAAAGTTCTTTATATGGTCTAGTAGACAAAAAGCGGCGCTACAAAACTGCAATCTCGGATTTTCAAAATTTTTGGTTTTTGACCAAAAAAAATCAAAAAATTGATTTTTTTAGAAAAACTTTGAAAAAATCCAAAAATTTTCCGAATTTCGAAAAAACCGGAATATATGTGATAGTGCCAGCGCTCTTCTATATACATACCAAATTTCAGATCGATATCTCGTTTTTTGGCCAAGTTATAGCGAAAAAACTGTTCAAAAATGATGACGTCAAATTTTTGAACTCAATTTTTAGCAATTCTAGACCACGTACGGCAAAACAAAGACCACCATTGAACTCCCCGTGACGAGCTGCATCGATTCGATACCCATTTTATGCAAAAATATTAACTTTGAAATTTGACCTAATTTGACCTGACCTTGACCTGACCTTGACCTGACCTTGACCAAAACGTGATCTAAGCTGGCCCCAAAGGCTGCCTGACCCATATAATCGCATTTGTCATGTAAAATGGACCATAAAACATGTATCACACGACACTTTCATATTGTGACCCCCCCGTGACCTGACCTCTGTGACCTGACCTGGTATCAGTGACCTCAAATAGCAAAATATGTGTTTGAAGAACATTTACCCATCGATTATTTTCAATGAAATGCATTTTACTCGATTTTACAACGCATTTCTTGAAGTGCCTGTAAACGGTGAAAATTGGACCTTTGACCTGACCTGTGACGTCATCGGTTTGACCTAGGTCAATAAAATTGGGTCACAGGGTAGTTCCCCGTTGGGGCTATCCAACGCCGTTTACCGCTTGTCGCTATGTTGCGTGGTTCTCGAGATCTTAGGGGGGGGCCAAAATGGCCCCCCCCCCCCAACCGGGCGCGTTGCTCGGCAGAGCCCAACGGGGCGCGGGTTAAGCGGCGCAACTCGAGACTTCGCCATGACGATCGAGCAGTGGACTTGACCCTTGTCGTTCACCAATCTCAGGTACGAGACCGCACCGTATCCTGTCACGCTTGCATCACTGAAGTGGTGCAACTGGCAAGAAACAACGCGACCAAATCCATCGGGTTTGAAAGACCTTTCCACTTCGAGTGCTTCCAGCTTGGGTAGATCCTCCAACCATTTTGTCCAGCTCCGTTCTTGACTTGGCGTGATTGCGTCGTCCCATCCGATCTTGGTTGCAATCAGCTCTTGCAACATCAGTTTTCCGCACAGAACGAACGGTCCGGCGACTCCCAACGGATCGTAGACCGAGCTGATGACTGAGAGAATCTGTCGTCTTGTCACTGGTTCCATCCGTCTGACATTGACGCAGAAGCCAAGCGTGTCTCTTCCCAAGTTCCATTTGACTCCAAGAGCTTTCTTTACACTTGCTCCTTCCACCAAGTCGAGTCCCTTCTCTGTGACACGTTCAGCTCGATCTGTCGACGGAATCTCGTTCAGAGCTTCTTCCTTGTTGCTGACGTACTTTGTTAGTTCAAATCCACCTCGGCTGCACAGCGTCTTCACTTCTAGCGCCAGCGACCGTGCCTCTTCGACCGTGGGTGCAGAACGAAGGCAGTCGTCGACATAGAAGTTTCTTCGAACCGTCGCCAACGCCTCTGCACTGAAGTCATCCTGGTTGTCACGCGCAGTCTGCTGTAGAGCGAAGTTCGAGCAGCTCGGAGACGATGCTGCTCCAAAGATATGTACGTTCATTCGGTAGTCCTTGGGCTTCACGCTGACGTCGCCCTCCGGCCACCAAAGAAATCTCAGCAGATCTCTATCCATCGGCGGTACTCTGACCTGATAGAACATGGCACGCACGTCTGCCATGAATGCGAATGGCTCAGTCCGGAAGCGCAGAAGAACGCCGAGCAGGGAACTGGTTAGATCAGGACCCTGAAGCAGCACGTCATTCAGGGATACATCACCGTACTTGGCCGCACAATCAAAAACGACTCTGATCTTGTCGGCCTTGTGGGGGTGATACACACCATGATGTGGGATGTACCACACACGACCGTCTGTCCTGTTCAAGCTTTCGTCTGACACCTCCTCAGCGAAATTCTCTTGCAACATGTTCTCCATGAAGGTAACGTAGTCCTCTTTGAATTTTGTGTTCTCAGTCAACTTCTTCTTCAGACTGGCGAGTCTGCGCAGAGCCATAGTTCTGTTGCTTGGCAGCCTCACTTCTGCCGTCTTCAAAGGAAGCGCTACTTCGTAGTGGCCATCTCTCAGTTCGATACTATCTTCCACTCTCTGCAGCCACTTCTCATCTTCTACTGAGGCTGATCTTGTGTCGTCTGACAGCTTTTCACTGAACTCTGCGTTGTACAGCTTGTCGATCAACTCTGGTATCCCTTCCTCTTCGACCTGGACACGATTCGCCGTCACTGTACTTCTCTCGGTGTGTCGAACGGGACCATTGATGACCCATCCGAGCAGAGTTCTTGTAGCGAACGGTCCTCCCTCTTGGCTGTGGATGACTTCCCACGGCTCCATTGCGAGTGGGACGTTGTTTCCGAGCATCAGCTCCACTGGGGCGTCCACACGGGGAAGACGCACGTCCCTTAGATAAGGCCATCTGCTCACATCTTCCTGTCTGGGGATATCACTGTCGTCAACTGGAACTTTCTCCAGACTGTAGACCGCCGGTAGCTGCAGAACATGACGTCCTCCAAGGTCAGCTACTTCCAGTCCATGGACAACCTGACTGTCGATCTTGATCCGGTTCTCACACACGGTTGTAAGGCACAACTGTGTTCTGTTCTTGTCCTGAAGTCCGAGCTTCTCAAGAAGTGATTCCTGACAGAAGCATGCCGTACTTCCACTGTCCAACAGAGCATGTGTCGTCACGGATCTTCCACCCGACCTCACCACCACCGGTACGACAGCCAAACCTGTGTTGCCTTGATTGACACAGCCTGTCTTCACCAACTGTGGCTGTGGTCGATCTGAGCTCTTGACATTGGTTTCTCCTTTGTCTCTTGCATGGTCTTCATCAGGAGACCGCTGTGGTGTCTGACTCGGGACCTTGAAGTTGCCATCTTGATGCAGCAGCGTGACGTGGCGCCTGCCACAGATCTTGCAGGTGCTCCTCTGCTGACATCCTCTTGCCAAGTGTCCAGACTTCAGACAGCCGAAGCACAGACCTTTTTCTTGGATGAACTTCTTGCGCTCATCTGGCTTCCTCAGTCTCAGTGTCTCGCAATCTTCCAAAGCGTGCGTCTTCTTGCAGTAGATGCACTGATTCCGAACTTGCACTGACGTGGCCAGTCCATACTTTGTTCTCGTGCGCTGGCTCTCCTTTGCGGTTGAGTTCGATCTTGAGGCTTCCATCTTCTGACGCCCATACAAGGGATTGGCCGCTATTCTTGCCTCTCTGTCCACAAACTCGACCAAGTCCGAGAAGGTGACTCGCCGTTGTTCATGTTCCATAGCAGCGTCAGCCAATCTTCTCCAACGATCATGGATGTGGAATGGCAACTTCTCCACAATCTTCCGAAGCGTGCGTGGATGATCCGTTTCTCTTAGACCAACAGGCATGTTCTTCATCACGCTGTCACAGACCATCATTGCGACTGCAAAGCTCTGCAGACTTTCAATGTTATCTGCCTTGATGTTCGGCCATACCAACAACTTCTCTATGTGCGCGGCGCTGATGTTCTCCTCATTTCCATACCTCTTTTGCAGAAGGCGCCGAGCCTCCCGGTACCCTACATCGGGTGACATAAGCAGGCAGCCTCTCACAATCTCATGTGGTTGTCCTTCAGTGTACTGCTGCAGATAGAACAACTTGTCGTGATCACTGATGTGTTTGTCTCCAATGCGGCTGTCAAAGGAGCGAATGAATGAGAAGTACTCAGCAGGGTTGCCTCGAAACTTCACAAGTTCCGCTGGAGGCAACTGTGCCTTCTCAGTCACTTGTAGCAGCACATCTAGAAGCCTGGGCTCCTCCGTCACTTGCTCTGACTGTCCACAAGCTCCTTGACCCTCCTGGTGCTCATGACCTCGATTTGTGTCCATATTTTGCTGCAGTCTGAAATCCACAAGAGGCTGAAATGCAGGAGCCTCTACATTCAACGTCTGTGAAGTCTGAGGTTGCTCTTGAGGTGTAGCCAGAGCTCCAAACACCGATCCAGCTCGGCTCCCTCCACACTGAGCAAGTACCCTTTGTTGTGCTTCTTCTTCAGCCATCTGTGCCATTAGAGCTCCTTGCTGTTTCTTGAACTCCAGTTCTTGTATCATTTTCTGAAGTTTACTTTCTTCAGCAGCTTGACTTTTCAGGGCTTCCATCTTCGCCACAAGTCCTGCCTTTCTTGCTGCTGAAAGCATCATTTCCTGATTTGCAGCACTTCGCAGAGAACCAGCCAAACTTCGCTTGCCTGAGAGACCAGACAACTTTGACCCTTGCTGAGACGCACTGTCTTCTGGATGAACTTCATCAGTTGCAGCAATCTCATCTTCCTTTGTCTTGCCTTGTCCCTTCAGTTCACTTCTCTTGACCTCGTCTGGCTTCACACCCTCTTCTTCCATGGCAGCATGAAGACGATGAACTAAAACAGCTTTAGTTCCTCTGAAGTCCAGGTTCCGACTCTCAAGTTCCGCCTTCAAGTCGACAATGCGCAGCTCTTTGATCGCAGCCAACAAAGGAAGGCCCATGACGAAGAAAAGGAAAATAAGGGAAAATAACTTCAGTAAGAACCCGTTGGGAACAGGGAACCAATCAGGTTACAATGTTCCTCTAAAGTGTCCTCCTTAATCCTAGAAATCAATCCAACGCTCCTTTACTGCTGACACTGGCTTAACATCCACACTCTATACACTACTTGTCACACACAATGCTAGCCCAACATCAAGCAGTAATGTAAAAGCAATGGTTATGCAATGTGACAGTGCAAGGCAAGGCACAGCTCAATTGTAACTGTGACAAGTAACTATTCTAGCCAAAATTCTGACAAGTCACAATCAGTTATCAGATACACCCAAACAATGAGCAGCACAGCTCCAAATGCCTATGCAGTAATGATCCTTAACTAACTCAGTCACCTTATTTCTAAATAACCAATAATGACCAAAATACCCTTACAGGAACAACCAGCAAACCAACAAATCAGCCAGCAGAAGGTCTACAATCAGCTGGCAGTCAGCCAAAAACACACAGAATAACTGACAACTGCTCACAATGCAGAAGAAAGCTACTAAGCCGAGTCCAATAATGCTCAATATGCCACTGATCAGCAACCAGTATGTCTTAAATGCTACCAGACAGGGTGACGCAGACGCAAGCAGCTTATTACCAAATTTGTAGTCACACCAAACCAAGTTACCAACTAGCAGCAAACACAAGGTAATTCACTGGCTGATCCCAAAAATCCAATTGACAGCACAGCAAACACAATGTGCAGCAGCATTATTGTTGGAACTTTATGTGATAACCGTTCAGACCAATCTTTGTAACTCAACCCACAGGTGACTCTTTATTGTCATCTTACTGAGCAGTGCGCATGCAGGCAGGTGCAGACGGGCAGACGCATATGAGCAGTAGGGCAAATGCAGTGCGCAGGTGCAGGCAGACAATCATGCCCTATGCTTAAGGGTCCATGCAGCGCCACTCGAAGCAGCCGTCAAGCAGATGCAGGCGTGCAGAGACAGACAGGCAATGCATGTGCAGTGAGCAGACACCACGTGCAGTGGACACACCGCGTCCAATAGATAGACACCACGTCCGGTGGATAGACACCACGTCCAGTGGATAGACACCACGTCCAGTGGATAGGTTCCTAAAAAGAAACAAAAACCAATTCGGTTTAACAGATATACCTGCACAGCATTGAGCATCATGCGGGGGGGGGGCACGCAGCATACATGCCAAACCCATTTCAATCACCTTTGCATGACAAAGTCTCACATCTCATATTTATACATTGCATTTTAGTGACCTATTTACAAACTTACCAACAATAATGGCGGAAAGATTATCACATAGTTTATATCTATCGGTCCAACCAAGATCCATAGACTCAAAGCCTCAGTAACATCAGCCAAGTTTACTGCGCCAAAAACGTCAATCCTCACACGACGAAAAAACCACATCCGGGCACTTCGAGCAAGAACTATAATAAAACCCTAACTCCTGAGCGGTTCCCTGTACGGTGGTGCCATCTCCAGGAAGGAAAGGAAAGCGATCACATGGTAGATGGCGCAACTGAGCTCACCGGAACGGCAAGTGCAGTGGCTGCGCTTACAATGATTATCATAAGGCATACCAATCTGGAAAATGATTAAACTAAAGTTGAATAAAGTGATATATTCCTGCCACAAGCTAGCTTACGTCCCAAACATATAGCTATTCTGACTTGGATAGACGATACCGGCGCACTTCTGCCAACGACGGGCAACATTATGCGATACTATACATTAGGGTGTGTCATTTTGGGCACTTTTTTCGCAAAACATGGTGCTCCACTGATTTTATCGTGCCCCAGACACGTAGAAACCGTGTGACATTTTTTATTTCCCCCAAATATTAACACCCATGCGGCGCCGACCGCCGACACTTTGGCCTATCTCTCAGCATTAGCGACCTCAGCGCCCCTAGCGGCAATGTTTTGAACTAACACGCTCGCTATGCTTTGTGAGCTTACGATAATCATTAAATGCATTTTACCGAAATGACGCCTTGCTGTTGGCTTGTCTGGCACTCAGAATGTTGGTGAAAATGTGATGTTATGCATCTTAAAGCACGAAATCGTTCTGTGTTAATGTATATTGCATAGTACTACCCCCGATCCCCGTCCTGGTCTGACGGGATACGTACGAGCGTATGTTTATAGTGCCTGCTATTAGGTGTCACATGTTTTTTTTGTAGCGTCGTTCACTGCATAGACCCCGGGGAACAGGGGGGGGGGGGCAGTGGGGGCGCTTGCCCCCCCTCTAACTTGAGAGCCGAGTGGGCGCCGCCCCCTCAACATTGATGCAACGATGAAGGATCTCTGCTCCCTTTTATGGACCTACATGTCTGTTTTTATATAAACATCAGCACAAGGTATTTCTCTTGCATGTGAATGGTTTCTGCTGATTCGGCATCGATTTAAGAACACCTGCTATTGTCATCCCACTTTGCTTTTATCTGAACTTGATCATAACTTTGGTAGGCCAGATTTTATACTGGACCGGACCATTTTGGTTCCAGATGGTATTTGATTTGGCGTGATGGGAACATTATGACGTACAACGGTGGTAAAGTCGTTGATTGATACAGGTTTACTCGCTCCGGTGGGAGGCAGTAGCGGCGGAACACCTTCAATTAAGTGGAGGGGGGGGGGGGACACTGCCGACTTTTGATCCCATTCTTTCCATACAACGCCCATAGGGCTAATGTTAAAATGCCCAAATCAGAGGGGGCACGGTGCCCTGGTGCCCTCCCCGTTCCGCCGCCTATGGTGGGAGGGCGGCGTGTGGGACTCAGAAGGAGACTAATGGCTTGTGTTGTGCCTTTGGTAGGACCCTCAGTATCACCGATGCAGGGCCTTCAGAGCCTCCAATTAGGGGCCTTTAGAGGCACTGGTGTGGGGTCCTCACAGACGCCCGTGTGGCCCCTCAGAGGTGCTAGTGTGAATCCCTCATAAGCGCCGGTGAGGGTCCTCACAGAATACAGACGCCGTTGTGGACCCTCAGAGACACTGGTGTGGGTCCGTTACATGTGGGTGTGTGACCCTTAGAGCTGCTGGTGCGAACCCTTTAAAAGTCGGCAGGGGGCCCTCAACGACCGGGGAGGGGGACCTCAGACCGGCAAGGGGCCCACAGAGGCCGGCGGCATTTTCAGAAGCCCTGTGGGGTCCTTACATACCGACAAGGTACTCTGAGACGCCAGTGCGGCCCTCAGTCTCTGGTGTAGGGCCCTCAGAGTTGCAGGTAGGTGGCCGTCAGATATGCTTTTGCCGAACCCTCACAGGCGCAGGTGTGGGTACCTCAGAGCCACCAATATAGGGTTGCATAAATGGTGTGGCACTGGCTTGGGGGACCCTCAGTGGTGTCCTTATGGGCCCTTAGAACCACTGGTGTGGGTCTCTCAGAGGTGCTGGTTGTGAACCCTCAGAGGCCCTGCTGAGGGCCCTCACGGTCTCCGTTATGGGATCCTCAGAAGCCGGCGTAGACCCTGACGGAGATCTTAGTGTGGCTACTTAGGGGCTCATGAGGTGCTCTTACGAGACCTGTGAGGTCTTTCTCAGCTGAAATATAGTCAGCGTGGACCCTCAGAGGTCAATTGGTACCGGAGGGGTCTTTATGGCCGGGTGGGCTCTCAGAAGCACCAGTGAGGGCCCTCAGTCTCACAGTCGTCGTAATGGGGCCGTCAGAGACATTGGTGTGAGGCCATTACTGATTACAGGTTGGCGTAAGGCCCTAGATATGGCCCCTCTTGGGCCGGCAAGGAC